ACTCCCCCTGCTTGTGTTCCTGTTCTGTCTCTCTCTGTCATATAAATAAATAAAATCTTTAAAAAAAAAAAAAAAAGGTCTGGGTAGGCTCCAAGAACCCACTCTACACAGCACATGTAGGCACGTGGCATGTCTAGATTTAATTTTACAGGAGGCCTGTGGGAAGATATGCTAGTATTAGGGGATTTATCCACTTCACCCTTTTCCCCACCTTTGGAAAGACCATCACAGCATGAACACTAAGGAGTTTAAGAGCAGGGATGAAAATTCCTTCTCCAGATGAAATTTATAGAAGTATGACTCTGGTCTCAGGAATGTCAAAATTCCCAGTGTTGGACTCTCATGAGGCTTTGCCTTCTACTTAAGAAAAAGTGTTGCAGTATAAACAAGGGACAGAAAAGGCAATGGGAATTAACCGACTTTCAAGCCCCAGGTTGAAGGAAAGACTCTTTCCATTCTTTCAATATCTGCCCCTAGGTGGAATTTTTTTTATCTCACAATGATGTAATATAGTCAAATTTCTCCCCCAACTACTTTATGATTGGGTGGGTGGGTTAGGGTAGTGGAGACTGTGAAACTCACCCAAATGAAATCACTGTCTTACATGTTCACTGGGCACCCATGCTGGCCTGTCCCTCTCCTGCTGTCCCATCTCCTTAGATCTGACACCCCTTCTTTTTGTCAAATGAAGATCCAAATTCACAGAACTGAAATATTCTTTCTTTGCCTAGCTGCTGATTCTCATCCTTGAACTTCCCTTACTTTTCGCAGGGTGCCTTCTTCATTCCGAAGTGGGTTCAGCTATGTCCCTGCTATGTACCCCAGGCACCTCCAGCACACTTGTGTCATACTGGTCATTCTATTCTAAGTTTCTGTTTGGCTTACCTTTCTTCCTCCACTGTGTGTGTTTTGGGGAGCGATAAATTAGAAGGGTTAGGACTATGCCTCATTCATCACACCCTTAGGCCTGGTACAAAGTTGGAGCTTGAAATTTGTAAGAAGAATAAATTTACACACACAGAATAGTCACCAGTAATGCCCATTCTCATACATGGTAGTATTTGGACCAGTATTTAAAAATACTAAGTAACCCTCACAAAGATGTTTTCAAGAGTGGTGCTGTGGGTGTTAGGATAAGGAACTTAAGACTCTGTTATTTGGGGAGGAGGCCTTATCAGTTCCATCTAAGGCAGTATAAGACACACAGTTAAAATGTAACCCTTACTCCTAAGTTCTTTAAAAGCCAGTAATGGTTAGTGCACTGGACTGAAATTGATTTACTGTTTCCACGAAGCTTAGAACCAAATATATAGAAAAATGTGGTTCTGATACATTTTTTTCTTGGGAAAAAAAAAAAATCCTTCTGGGGAATAGAGCCATTGCACCCGAATGATCAGGGGTCAAACCTACAAAATTGTAATTTAAAGCTTCTGTCATTTGGAAAACCTCTAGGGAACTGAAATGCTCTCATAACGCCAAAGCAAACAGTTTTTCTTGCCCTGGAAAGCGGAGTAGAGAATGACTGTCTTGGTTTTAGGCATTCAAAGTTTTTCCACATATGTAAGGAACAGAAGATACAGTGCAACTAATGAGCAAATGGGTTCTGGAATGGTCAAACCTGGGTTTGAATTCTGACACTGGTCGTCTTCCTGAGCCTCAGTTTCTCAAAAAGTGAAATGGGGTAACAATAGAACCCTCTTCAAAGAGTGGTGGTAAGGATTATTCATGATAACCCATGTAAATCACTTAGCATTGGGAGCTAACAAAGGCAAATGTTACCTGAATAGGAGGAAATAAAGAAGAAACAATGAGGCCTCTTTTATCTATGCTAAGCTTTGTCTGCAGAGGAGGGAAAAGAAGCGTGCGGCCTGTTGGCGAATTTATTGCTTTGTGATAGTAATGGATTTTCCTAAAGCTGTTTCCCTCTGATCATTAATAATCCCTGTACAGTAAAGGGCTATTGTTCTTCAGTATGAGTAAATAACCCTGTCGGAGGCACCGCTTATCTTCAGACCACAGCACATACTTCTTACTGGAAATATAATGCAGGTGCCAACATCGAAAGCATGCCCAGACTTCCCTTCCTATTTTTCTTCCTTTATCTCTTACTCCTTGCTTATCCTTTGGCATGTTTTTCTCCTACATCTGTTATATTTCCTACTTTCTGGTGTACACCCATATCCTACACAGTATCATCCTTACCCAAATCGAATAACCTTCAAGATAAGCTGTACTCCACACATCTCTGCCCTCTCTCCTCTCTCTTCAATAATAGACAGACAGACAGTCACAGACAGACACACACACACCCAATGGACTTGTTTCCTGTCCTGGACTCAGTTTTTGGTTACTAGAATCCAAAAAGGGAAGTGTAAAGCCACACATTGTTTTGCAAATCTCAGGATATGCTTGTGTGGTGTACTTAATCATACCACAGCTATTCTCTGAAACAGCATCTTTTTACACAGAAAGTGACAATATGGTGTGTCAGGGATAGGAGGCAGAGAGAAGGTAGATTGTATTTTCATTTTACTTAAAGGAATGGAAATTAGGTTAGGTCCTGTAATATGGGAAATCTCCAGAACACAGGGAAAAACCAAAAATACTGATGTCTGAAAGACTTCTAAATTATCCCAAACAAGATCATAGGAGGCAAGTATGCTCATTCTAAATATACCAGCATAGAAGCACATGCAAGATTATACTTGTAAGGGGGAACTCCAATCAGGCTTTTGTAACCAAGAGAGATACAGCTCTTTTTCCCCTCAGAGACAGAAATTCTAAATGGAAACCAAGTTTTGGCCCCTCAATTCAAAAGAAATGGAAGTACCTGTTTCCTTATCAGCATATTTTAAGAGACAAAGTAAGGGTCAGTCACAGGTGGTGAGAACCAGTTACCAGAAGTAGGAGGAGGTGTTAGACGTGTGGGGGTGTATGTGAGCTGGAAATAGATGAAAACTAGGTCAATGCTAAAAATCAACCCCAGTCATTCATTCATAACTATCCAGGATTTCACCCCTTCATAGGAAAGGGGGAAGTCTGAGAACAAGAAACACTTAGGTTTAAATTAACATTTAAATCCCTCCTTTGTGATAATTTCCTAGGGAAATGGATTAGGGAACTGACAAAAGAGCTTTGGTTAGAACATTAGAGACAGTTGGAGCTTCCTAGTATCTGACCCTTGATCCAACCATCTGATGAATAACCTCACCTTGCTTGAGTAGGGGTCCCTGCCCTCAAGACAGTTTCTAAGTACCCTCCAACTGTCAAGTAACTACCAAATGAGCAACTTTTCTCATCTGCAGAGGCAAAAGAGCTCCTTACTAGACAAAATTCCTTGACAGTAGGAGCAATGACTGTCCCTCTTTACATGGGTGGAACGACTAGCACCCAGAGTACCTTCAAGCTCCTCCAGTTCAGTGCTGACCAACATAATGTATTTCAATGACGGAAATATTCTCTAACTGTGCTGTCCAACAGGGTAGCTAGCCACTGGCCACATGTGGCTACTGGGCACTTGAAATATGGTTACTGCAGCTGAGGAACTGGCACTTAAATTTTTATTTAAATAGCTACAAGTCAAAAAAAAAAAACAAATAAATAGCTACATGTAGCTAGTGGCTCCTCAGGAACAGCACAGCGCCACAGCTACACCAAGAACTGCAAATCAAATGCCCACAGGTCAGGCAGATAGTTGAAGAGGAGCGGGGTGGGTGGGGAGAAGCTTATTGGCTCTAGCTGACTGTTGCAGTGTAGGAACCTCAGGCTAGTGTTGCCAGATTGTCTCATTTTTCAAATGAAGCTGAAAATCTGGATTTTGATGTCCAATTTTTATATGCTGGTAAGTAAATTTTAAAAAGAATTTAAATTTAAATCACTCTGTGGGATGAACGGTATGTTTGCGTGCAATATCTGTCTTGCCAGTTTGTAGTCTCTAATTTAGGGAGCCCCTCCAGCTCAAAGAAAAAGACCTTATCCAATGCCCCTGCTGGTCAGTAGCAGATCCAAGACTGGAACCCAGGCCTTCTGAAACTTCTTCTGATATCCTTTCTAGGTTTTATGAGATTAACCATATCTAGTTTGTGATTGGTAGTGCTGGCAGCAGCGGGAAAAAAGCCCCTTTGTCAGAACTGTTGAAGTCCAAAAAAAAAAAAAAAAAAAGAATTGTTGAAGTCCATGACTGGTATCTTATGAATAGTGTTCCTACCTAGCTATAACCATATAGTGGGACCCGATGGGCAAAGCTCTGTACTGGAGCCAGCAGGACACAAAGAAGAAATAGCCCATGGGGAGTCAGACATACAAACAATTAACAAGCAAAGTCAGGCTTGCTGTAATGGACACAAATCACCTGCGCACAAGTCCAAAAGCACCAACAGCTGTGGGAGGAAGGGAAGGAAGAGATCTGAGCCAGGGCTTAGACGATGAACAGAAGCTGGCTAGTGGGTGGATAAGTCTCACTGATTATGAGTGAGTCTCATTATTATGGGATATTAGGGAAGCCTTCTTTTATCTCTGAGGCCTTATCTGTGTCAAGGGTCTCCTCTGCTGGCTTCCCTTCTTCTCTGGGTAGTCTCTAAAAACCCCTCTACTTATTTTCCCAAGGACTTTTCCCCTGACTTGTATATCTAACTTCTCAACATCCTCACCTGGATGATTAAAAGACCTAGCAAATCTAGTATGTCTAAAAAGAATTTAGGATATTTCCTCCCAAGCTGTTTTCCCTTAGGAGTCATCCTTGGTTCCTCTTCTTCCCATACACATCACATCCAATCCGGCAGCAAGTCTTGCAAGCTCTACTTCCGAAATGCATTATGAATTTAATTATCTGCATTTCCACGGCCACTACCCATCTCTCCCTTGGCCTACTGCAGCAGCCTCCTAACAGGTCTGACAACTTCTACCCTTCTCTATCTAGCTGCCAAGGGATTTTTAAAAAATGTAAGTCAGGTCACTCCCCTTCTCAAAATCCTCAGGTAACATAACAGCCAAACCCTTACCTTGGGCTAAAAAACGCTGTGCTTGATCAGGCCCTGCCATTTCTTCATCACAGACCACTCTGGCCCTTCTTTCAGTTCCAGCCACCTGGCTTTCTCGCCGTTTCCTTCCTCAGAACCCTTCCCGTTGGCTCTTTTCTCCATCTAGAATGTCTATTCCCTAGCTTCTCTCTTTTCTCGCATCTCTATGAAACCTGGTCTTGTCTGAAAAGCCTTACCCGAATTAGAGTGACCCTCCCCCAATCTTCTACCACTTCACCCGGTATTAGTCTTAGGGGGCATGTGGCACTTGCTGATATCCTCCTTACTGATTTACATTTTAACTTTCTTCTGCACTCGAATAAAAAGTCACGGAGCAAGGCCTGCGTCTTGTTCTCGTTTGTGGACCGAGGCAGTAAGTAAGAAGGTTTGCTCTATCCTAGAAAGGCTCCGTAGCCTCTACGGGGCCTCGTTTGGGTCAACCTTCCCCAGCTTGACGCCTCTCGCCCCCGGAATTGCCCCTACTAATCTCGCATTTATATTCAGGGATCTAAAGGTCTCAGATGGGCCCAACCGGCATCTCAGCGTCCCCACAACAGGCCTCCGCTTCCTGGCCCTCGGGCCGCTTCCCTTGGCAGGTTCCTGAGGCCAGCGCGATGACACCGAGCCGCCCTCGCGAGGCTGGGGTCACACAAGCACGTCTCCTAGCAACGTCGCACCCCCGCCCCCACCCCATCCCTGCCCCTGGGGAGCCAACCCCTTCCCCCAGTCTCCCGCGCCAGGAGTCAGCGTCTCCATCCCCTACACTCACTCTGCGTCAGTTCTGCCTTCCCCCACCCACAGAAGCGCCGCAGCCTACCGCGGGCTAGGAGGAGGCGGTGCCGGGAGCTTAGCAGAGCCGCGGCCGACGCTGGTCGGGCAAGTCCGGTAGGCCAGGCCGGACTAAACCACCGGGAGGACCTCTGTGGGAGCATTAGTTCCAGGTCAGGGGCAGTCTCGAGTCTCCCTTAAACTTTATACTCTAGCCCACCTTCCGCCGTATACTCAACAATATAGCCAACTTCATCCTTTCCCTAGTTTTCCTTTACCCCTTTCGCTATCCTTCCCCCCCGAGCCAAAAAAATGGTCCAGTCCAGCTTCTCCTAGCCCTCCCTCCGCGTCGCTAGGTCTTTGCCCTTACTTGGCGACGGCTTCGTACGTCTTTGCGTACGTCGTGACGCAATCTTCCACCCGTTCCTCCCCGCCCCTCTTCTATTCTCCCTCCTGGAGCGGGCGGCCTGCGGGGTTACCGGAAGTGATGATGCAGGAGGCGATGGAGGGGGCGGGGCTTGGGGGCGGCCGCCGCCGGTGGGCCGCAGATGAAGAGGAGGCGGCGGCAGTGGTGGAAGAAGAGGAGGCGGCGGCGCGGGTAGGGAGCCTGGAAACGCGAGCGGGGATGGTAGGTGGTTTGGACCCGCCGGGCCGCCGTCGTTTCCAGAAAGGGTTTGACTGGAGGAACCTCTGGAGCAGCTGTGAGTTTGGGGGGGGTTGAGGAGAAGCGGGGAACATTGAGAGATGAAGGGGCGGGGGTTGGGTACCTTCGAGAAGAGGGGGTGGAAGGGGAGGAGTGGAAATCAGCTCCTTGTCTGGACTGGTCCCTTTGGAAGAGGCTGTGAGGGGAGCTTGTGGCGTGTCAGCCGCAGGGCTCAAGAAAACTTAACCTACTGTCCCTGCCTCCCCACCGCCAGCACCCCTCAACCCAGGCCTGGGGATCTGGGGGCTGGAGCTGCCCTGGAGAGGGTGCAGACTCTGGTCGTATGGCCCGGGTAAGCGCTGTGAGGTGGGAGTCCAAGCGGGAGGTGGTGGGTGAATCTCCAGCTCCCTCCTCCCTCATTTTCCTCCCACCCCCATCCTTCTCTTTAATCATTAACAGCCCTGGAATTAAGGGGCTCAGACCTGAAGGCCTTTCTGTGCACCTTTGCTATAAACGATAACCATCTGTGCCTGAGGTAATGGGGCTGGAAGCTTTGCCTGTATCCTGTATGGGAAGTGGGACGGGGTGACAAATGTATTGTTTTTTTCCATTCCCCTTCACCCCTTACCTTACCCCATATACACCCCTCGTTTCCACCTCAGTTCTCTGTGGCTAGGTGGTAATCTTGGTGGGTTTTGTTTTTTTTTTTCCCTTCATGGCACTTGGTATCTTGGTTACCTCTTTTGAATTTGGTGTTCAGCCTCTATCCCAGATCTTAACTGCAAGCTTTGTAATACTTCAGTTACAGGTTGTGTCACATTGGGAGTACCTCTCAGTGCCTGGTAGCTCCAAATTAAGATGAGCATTTTCTCCTATGAATACTGGAATTCCAAAGTCCTTGCAAGGATTCCTAAATGGCATCATAGCCCAGGAATCAAAGTCTCTTGTTCTAAATACTTTATGTGTGAGGAATTTACATGTCAACTCTTTCCAAAATGATTTGATGTTAAGCTAATTCTGGATTTCTGTGTTTCTCTCCACCCACACTTCATGATGCACTTCAGAGCACAGAAAACCCCACTTTTTTGTTTCTGCAATAGGACAATACCTCTTTTATCTTTTTCTCCATTTATGTGTCGGGCGCACAAGTCTTCAGTGACACATTTGGCTTGTGCTGATTTCTGTCTTATTTATTTAGCTGATGCTTTGTGTATAGATGGACTTAAATGAGAAAATGTGATCTGTTTTGTTTTAAAAAAGAATACAGACCATTAATGGAAAAATTATTTGAAGAAAGCAGAGAATGATTAGAAGATCTCTTTATTGATGTTCTATTGGTTTAAAAAAAATCACCAAGTAGTGCCCTTTTAGCTTGTCGTAGGAATTTCAGAGTGAAATGTAATGATTCCTATTTTGGTGTTGATATTTTCTTTGGAAGTCCTTTGTTGAATGTGGAACTGTGTTTTCTGAAGAACTTTAAGAAATAGTGCGTAAACTTTAGGGATCCTTTGATTAGAGCACGTCCATAAATCCTGGCCCTCTATAACTGAATTTATATGCGTATTGCTAGAAGAATTGTAACGGATCCCATCCTACTCATCAGGGCTTTTCATAAAGTAATATTTAATGCTTTGATTATACAAGTAACAGCATGTTTAGATGTTTCACAGAACTGTAACAAAAGAAAAGAATGACCACTGTTCTCACCTTAATTGATTTGGAACCAAAGAATAAAAAGTCCAAAATTCATTCATTCAACAAGCATTATTGACTAGCTAGTAAGTGCTAGCCGTTATTTTGGGCTCTGAGTGGACAAAGGTGAATGCAAGCATAAGGTCTGAGCTCTCATGGAGCTCACACTGGAGTGTGTGGGGACAGAAGAAATAAGCATATAAATGAGATTTTGATAAGTGCTGAAGAAAGAGTGATGTGACAGAAAGTGTCTCATTGAGATGCAGTCAAGGAAGACCTTTCTGAGGAGGTGACACTTAAGTTGAGCTTTAAATAAAAAGAAGCCAGCCGTGCAGATATAGGGGAGGAGCCTTCCAGGTTCAGGGACTAGCTAGTGCAGAAACTGGCAAGAGTGACTGGCTAGTTCTAGGGCCTAGGAAGAAAGGGATGGGGTGGAGAGGGTGTGGGGAGGTGAGGGAGAACGAGAAAGGGGAGGCAGTAACAGCCAGAGCCTAGTGAGCAAAGAGGAAATGAAAAAGTCTAAGTCAAGAGAGGTGGAGGCTGGGCTCAGAATAGGTAGGCAAAATAAGAGTAAGAAGAAGGAAATAGAAAGCGATGCTCCTTTTTGATCAATTCTGTTTCTTTTCCTAGAGTATTATCACTTACTATTTTGCAGGTACTATTGGACTATTGCAATAAAAGAAAAAGTCACCCTGCTGAGTGGGGAGAGGAGGCAAGGTGGCTGTGGTCACCTGGGTCTTTTCTGGCAGATAAATGTCAAACTGTGTTCAGAATTCAATGGAACGTTCAACTGAGAACACACTTTTTTTTCCTTACAGTATTTTGTCTTATATGCTGCTATTTAAAATTGCATAACAAGTACCCTGCATATATTCTAATATATGAAGCTTCCAGCCATGTATGAATTTAGGGTTGAAGACTGGGCAAATGATAATAACATACCCCTGTTGGTCTACAAAGATGTCCATCAGGATCTAAGTTTGAAGTTGTTTTTTGTAGGGAGGCAGGTTTTATGTTGCAACATTTCCACTCTTGTCTGGTCTGCCTGGTGACCAGATAACACTCAGCTGAGGTGTAGGTTGGTGCTAAAAGTTCACTTCATGGCTTACATTAGATAAATGACCATTGTGGGCTCAATCCCACTATGTCGGCATCTTTGGGCTGGCATGTAACCACGAGATATAACCTACTTCTGCCTTCTGTTGGGGCCATTCATCTCCAATAGTCAGCTGCTTTTCAGCCTCACCTTGACCAGATTGTCCACTTGAGAAGCCCAATCAGGACTCCTCCTTGATTTGGCCCTCTTCTGCCATGTCACAGTGCGCCGAAACAGAAAGAATACACTGTTTTCTTCTTTTGAACCCCACAACAGTGACTAGTGTGTTCTTTGAGTGAATTGGCCCTTTGAGCCATGCGGTTGAGAGACTTAAATATTGCTTGGGCTATTTGTAGTAAAGTCGGTATTAGAAATGCTAAATAAAACCTTTTAGTGTTTGGGGAAAAACAAATCAGAAATTGAGGACCTGTCACCTGTTTTAAGTTCTGGTATTTTAGTAGCATTGGTAGATGGATTGTGAGAACTAACTTGAATAGAGCCCGTTGGGCAGTCCTGAGGGTAATGAAGGGAGTGGAATAGAGCCTGGTACTGAATTACTGAATTCCGACTTGAATGCAAATGGAAAGTCTTTTAGTTAGCAAGCTAGTGACTAAAGTGAACAGCTAGGACCTTGCAAACAATAGACTCCACTCTCCATACTGCAGAGTAACACAAGGGAATGGAGAGCTGATAATGAAATACATATATACTGGGCTTTGGTCTAGGTTAAAGAATTTTGGACTTTGTACGCTAACGCTGGACTTCAAATGCTCTAGCCAATGGGTTATTAAGGTGTCCACTACTCAATGGTTTTTTATAACGCAAGTATGAAAATATCCTGTAGGCTGAAATTTCATCAGCCAGTTTGGAGACTGGTGGCGTTTATCTAATTTCTGAAAGGGGGTGGATGGGTAGGAGGGGACTTGAACACAGGGAGAAGCCATTGACTCCTACGTTGGCCGCTGATTGTGTTTGGGGAAAGACTCCACAAATCTAAATGAATTTGAGTCTTGGAGCTGAGCTGGCCTTTTAATATAGGATACCAGTTGATTTCTTTCTTAAACTTTGGGGGCTTTTGGACACACTCTGAAAGGCGGGCAACCTAGGAGGCCAGTTGATGACACTTATTCTTGGAGTTGTGTTCTATATTGCATTAGGTGACTTAACATGAACCTGATATGGCTACTGTTTTGATGTCTGTGCTGCAGTAAGGAGAGTTAATTGTACACTGGCTGCCAGTTGTTTTGAGGTGAAGATGTGGTAACTCAGATTGAAACAATGGTAATTACTTGGTAACTCCTATTTCCCCAGCTCTTGATAATTTACAGTTACCTCTTTGTGTCTGTTTACAGATGTTGATACCAGTGAACCAGGACCAATTCTCCCTAAATGTTGCAGATTGTTCTGAAGCTCTTTGCACAATGGACC